AGAGATAAAGCAATAATTGGGAGAAAAATTTGGCCATCTTTTGCAAACCAGCACAGTGCACAAACTCTGGGCAACTAATGTATACATCAATTAAAGCAGAGGTACTGGTTCAAAGCTTTAGAGCAGTACATTTTGTTATCAGCATGCCTGAGCTGATAAGCTGTGAGAGCACCACTTGCTAGCAGTAAATAAGTCTGCACTGATGCAACTGCAGCCTGAATTTAAGCTAGTTGATACTGAAATATATTGTGTTCCATTTCAAATATAAATATGTCCTAATTGTAATAGCTCTGCATATTGTATCTGCAGTGCCATTGACTACATAGAACTTTAATTTAGCAGGATTATAGCAACATTATGCATTGGTCTGGGGAGTATCAGATGTCTTACAGTTGTTGAAGTATGTGAGCTTCAGTTCTGTGAAGTTAAACTTAATCATTACAGGTGGAAGTCCTAGTAGAGTAGTCATATTTTAGTGTGTCTGCTTTTATGAGCACTTAGATAAAACTACATTACATTCCTGCACATAAAGCCAGCTGATAACTTGTCAATAATTATTCTAATCAGGCATTTATTTGTCAGTTCATGTGGAAAACACGACCATTGGAAAATATTTCACTTAAAAATCTTACACTTTCTATACTTTGTAAGATTAGTCACACCTGGAAGTTAATAAGTAATAAATACTTCTATATTTTTTAGGTTAGGAGAAGGAATAACTCTACGTCAAATTTACAGCCTCCTCATACTTTTAGTGACCTGTTGTGAAAACAGAGCCGTGAAATGTTATCTAACTGGATTTGCATCTTCCCAACAAGTGATGTTTTTGTCTGTGTCTTGCACCAGCTGAAATCAAGGCAAGAGATTCAGGGCCCAGGTTTCTAATACAAGTGAATATGGGATTTAACAGGGTCTTCATAAACTTTACAGGAAATACAAGTATGAGTAATTTTATTTAAAAAAAAAAAAAAAAAGGCCTGTGTGTATATTGCACAAATCATCAGGATCATGTAAAATCCATGGGTTAACTGATATTTTAATACGTAGCTAAAGATCATTTGAAAGCTATTATTTAAGATAGACTAAATTAGAAGGAAAAGAAATTTTACCTGGGGGCCAGCATTTGCAAATCTATGTGCTCATTGGAGGCTGTCATATGTCAGTGCTGCAGATATCCAGCAGGAAAGAGTTGCTTGGGATCAAACTGCCAAAATGCCATTCTGTATTTTAGTTCCCGTGAGAAGTTATATACCGATAACTTTATGTATATCAATATCAATGTAGATATGTGAATTAGAAACAAATTAATTTCCTTCAGCCTCCAAAGAAAAGAAGTGTGAAATAACCAGGAAAAGGTCTGAACTGTTTACTCAATTGCAACAGCTCTATGTATGGAGTAAGTGTGTACAGGCATACAGATGGCTGTCTGCATTTTAAAAAGTGTGATTTATTTTCCCCCGAGTAGAGTACATAATTGTTGGAATTGAATGTATGTGGTGAAGTAAAAAAAAATATGGTGTTATCTTAAAATTCTACCTTTAATTAACTAAATGTATCACCTCACAGTGTAGAACAGTACTAGATTCTAGGACTCAGCTCTAAGCAGTTGGCTGAATCAGCTCATCCTTGTGTGTATTTTCAAGAGTTGTTAGATCAAGTCCATTTAACAAAATGTGTAGCTACATTAAATACGGTAAATAGGGTCCTACCTTGTTCTTTAAAGAGTTACATGTGGTTAATTCAAGATATTAGGGATCTCTATGAGTTGTTGTGTTCTATTATGTTTCTGTATTTGGTACATCTGTAAGCAATGTCTGAAAGGTGTATTGCTGCCTCATTGACAGAAACCTGCAGGGAAGAGGGAGTGGAGACAGTGCTTCCTGCAAAGTAGAAGGTGAAGAATATTTTGGGCTCGGTGATACTACTGTGTTACTAACAAAATCAATTGTCATCCTTACATGTTTTGGTGTGAATCTCAATACAGGTTCCTGTTCTCCTTGGAGACTGCAGAATTAAGTTGTCTAACTGTCTGTAGCCTAATTTCCAATTGGTTTGTGTCTCTGCTTTCATTAAGCTTGTTGTAAGAGAACTCTAACTCTGTCTAATACAAGACTCAATGGTTATTGACTGGAGGGGAAATAGGGACACATGCTCTCTCACACACACACAAAATGGAAAAAGAAAAAACAAAAAAACAGAAGGAAAAAAGTCCTGGAAATCTCAGCTGCAGACTTTAGATTGGGGATGCTAAACTCTCAAGGATTACTAAGTTCCTTTGCTCTTTTTTCTCCTTTTCCTAAACTGAATACTGAGAGGCAAACTGGGGATAAAGTCTGTAGGGAAGCACCAGACACTGACAAGATATCTTTGGGCCATTTTCAGGAAAGGAATTTCTGTTGCTCAAGAGGGGAAGAAACTGGGAAGTTCAGGTGAGCTAGCACCAGAACTGAAGCATCCTACCTGTGCTGATAGACCTGCTCTAGAACTGTAATCCAACAAGTGTGGTGAGAGGACACCAGTAGAGAAGTCCTCATCATAGAATGGAATCTGAAGTCCAGGCTTAAAACTACTACAAGGTGTACCTGGAAAAAGTAGGAATCACGAAGAAAAGGCAGAAGCTCGAGAGCAACAAGGAAAGAGGGAAGGCTGCTATTAACTATGGTCATACAAAGAAGGAGGGAGGTCTGCATTACAAGCTATAGAATGAAGGTGGAGACTGAGAGATCAAAGTAGATTTTAGGTGTCTTAAGACTTACATGAGAAGCAAGAGGTAACAATTACGACTGGCTCTGGATAAATTTGAGAGGATTGTGAGAAGATTGATAAGCATGTGCTTTTTTTTTTTTTTAATGGATTGTAACTTTCAGTTCTATCTTGGAGATTGAACTTGATCTTTAGATCTAGTTAAGTGTTAATCTTTTGGTGATTTTGGCCCATGCTGGCTTCCATAAATGTATATATCCACTGTCTAGTAGTTCTGGCCCCGTTATCTAGGCAATCCAAACTAATGCTATCCCTTGAAAACAGATCTTTTTACTTTTTAGCTCAAGTATCAGCTTCTCCAATATCTCCTCATCTCACATATTTAATTATGCCCCAAGACTTTCAATGTTAACCTTGTTGGCCTAAGGTTCTTCCCAATATTTTCTAGAGTCATCTTGTACTGCTGCTCCTCCATCCATGAGGAAAGGGAACTGCTTTGAAGATCATGAGAACTAATTATAAGCCAACTTCCATAGGAACTCTGTAAATCCTTAAAAAAAAAAAAAAAAAAAAAAAAAAGATAACAAAGAACAACAAACCAAATCTTAAAATAAACAAACAATTTCGTTTAGTGATGTAGTGGGGCTAATAAAGGTAATTTTGGATCATTCCCACTGAATAAATGTGCTTTTTTTTTTGTTGTTGTGACTTTGATTATCCTGGCAAGCTCATTTTTGAGCAATAGCAAAGGTATCAACATCTTTTGTATGTTTTCTTCTTTTAAAAATGTCTTTGTGCTTATGGACAGTGCTCTATTCTTGCACATGATGCCAAACAGGGATTCAGGACCTGTGTGTTACTTCTCTATCTTCCCACTCATGGGAATATGTAATTAACGGAACTGAGATCATCACATTGTGCTCTGCAATGAGGCTGTTAGTAAGAGTCAAGTCTATTCTATTGTGTTAAATAAGAGAAAATCCAGGTACGCTGTGAAAGTCTAGATGGAAGAAATGACAGAAAGTTGGAGGGAGCTTTTCGTTCTTCTTCTTGCTTTCTACATAAAGTACTCAATTTCAAGTTGTTGAATACTCTAGGCTTTCTGCTCGTAACCCCTACTCCCTAAAGCCAAAATTTAACAGAGTTCTAATCTCCATGAAAAAGGGTACACAGGTCTCTGCAGGCCTGGGGAAGAAGCTGGTCTCTCCCTTATTTAAGTAGCACACTGATGTTAAGAGTCACCTGAGTTTGCTGGTTATCCAGCTGAAGAACTGAAATACGCGGAAAAGTGCTGTTTTGAGATATAGGAAGGAAATTTTCTTCCACAAGAGAAACATATTGAGAACCTTAAAACAAGTTCTGAAGGAGCGAAAATGTTTGTTTGTTTTGTTTTTTTTTTTTTTAAATCTCGTGTTTTGCATTATTATGTTTTCAGACAGTGAAAAACCAGAAGCTGTAAATGAGTAAATTCCCACCAGTCACTGTTTTCTTCTTACTAAGTGACTGGAAGATAGGATATATTGTGAATCTTCTGAATACCAATCAAATTTAGGTCTCATGAATATTTATGTAAGTGCATAGTTGAGTAACCATAGGTGCTGATGCAGATCTTGATCAAGCAGAATAAGGTAACTGGAGGTCCAGTACAGTTGTTCTCCCTTCATATGCTTAGATGAAGGAATCAAGGTATGATTTTCTCAAACCTTGAGGAATCTGCAAACAGGAGGCATTTCCTTCTGCAAACTATGTCCAATTATAAGATTCTTGAATTTCTGCAGTGGTACTTTTAAAGCAAATTTGGCTTAGCTAACATCAGTGATTCACATAAATCAACTTTCTTTTTTGAAAGAAAAAAAAAAAACAAATAAACAAATAAAAACAGGGTTGCTTTATTTGTGTTTTGTGATGATGGGGTTTTTTTGTTGTTTTAATTGTTGGTTTTTTTCCTGTGTTGTAAGAAACAAGATGTCTTGCCATGTGCTCCAAGGTGATTGCCCTCTAGGGACAAATTGTGTTTTCATGTATTAGATTGTTTTCATATAGTAAATACCATCTAATACTTTCAATCACTTCTCAGAAATGAGAAACAGAATCCAAATGGCCTTGAGTTGGAAAACATTGATTTGTTGTTCCCTTTTATTTTTTCCTAGTGCCTGAATATCTTTCTTTTAGAGTTTGTCAATATTACAGTTGAAATAATTAACAGTAGTTGTTGTACTCTTGTTGTTTAACTCTTTATTTCAGGTCTATTGGAAACCCAGTCTTTGCATGAAGCAGACGAAGATATAGTCACTGATGTTGATTTCACCAGTATGATTTCTGAAGAAGAAAAAGAGGAATTAAAGGCTGAGCTGGCCAAGGTAATTAATTTGAATTTCTGTGAGTATTAATGTTTCTATTTCTGTTAATCAATAGATATTAATTGTAGGATGAAGTATACATCATAATGAAATGCTCTTTCTTTAAGTAAAATTATTCTAGGCTATAATAGTTTGAAACAATTATTTTCCATATGTATTTTTGGAAGGTTAGAAAACTTTTATCTTCTGATTGTAGAGATGAAGTTAAACATGTCATTTTAGTCTATAAAAGCCACTATATATATAAGCCTTTCTTTACAAAGACTGAAGGATGCTCTTATTACATCCATGAAATTGTTGTAGTGGTGTGACACCTGACAGAAACAATTCTTTGTATGGTGCTCAGAGGAAAATCTGCTGCTTATGGTTACAGAAGAGTCTGGTGATTAGCGCAGCAATTTCATCAAGTTTTTGCTTCCTTCATGACTGTTGTGTCTGGAGAGGGTTGTATTTTTGGTTTGTTTTTTTTTTTTTTTTTTTTTTTTTTTTTTTTGTAATTACAGAGCTTCAAGACATGTCACAACACAATGAAAAGATTTTAAAAATAATATTTAATAAAAAAGAGAGGAAAGATGAGAAGTGTGAATTATACGTCCTTTTTATTACAAAGACTCAGGAGTTTGTCTAGATTTGGCCTAAGGTAAGAGAGTGCTATTAGAAGGATTTGCTGCTATTGCACATGGAATGGGCTTACCCAGAAGACAGCTCTCCTCCTGAGAGAATTCCTGTCTTTTGTACAACAAATACATAAATCAATGTTAAGTCACCATATAAAATACTTCAATAATTAAGAATGCTGTAATCAATCTTAATGACTCTCAAGTCATTTTAGCAGCATTGATTCATTATATCACACAACGATGAAGGAATTTATCCGTTAATTACTGGTTTGTGTTGGGACAAGAGGCCCAACAGTGAACAAGTTGTTCACTCTTTACACCAGAAAGCACTTCTGTGCTGTGCAGGTGATGGGGGACTGGCACAGGTTGCCTCAGAGAGGCTGTGGGTCTCCTCCTTGGAGATCTTCAAAAGCTGCCTGGATGTGGGCCTGTGCAGCCTGCTGTGGGTTGTCCTGCTTGAGCAGGAGTTGGACCACATAAACCCAGAGATTTCTTCCAGGCTAAATGCTTCCTTTCCCTTTCTAGGTGAAAGGGACAAGTTAGGTATATGTAAACAAGGAATAAAAAAGCTTCCTTCAACCATCTGATATAGATATGTCTCTTGCAAGAGGATTTATCCCTTGGCTCTCTTCCGTGCCTGAAGATTCCTGTGAGAGATGAGTTTTCTGATAGAAATGCTCTAATTCCAACAAACAAATGAGAGATTGCCTTTCAAGTACTCTGATCTTGGCTGATCTGGAAACTATTTTCTGAATTTACCCACAGCAATTCACTGGCATACAGTTTACTCTTGAAAAAAAAAGCCTGTAGTTGTGCTGAGAAAGGGATGGAACTTGAGCTTGGTGAACTCTTAGGCTTAGAAGAACTTTATGGTTCTTTAAAAAGACTTACAAAAACTTGTAAGAACTCAACTCTTCCAGAATAAAAATGTGGCAATTGGGTGATGCTTCCTTTTCAAAAGCAATCTGTTTTTGCTTTCGAGTCCTGCTCTGCTCCATCAATGGTGGTTTTGTTTTCCTCCATATCTGTATGTGTTGGTTCAGTTTCCTCTGAGAAAGAGGGCTTTGCAAACGCCCAGACCAGGACACTACACTTTGGTTGGTGATATGGCAAGAAAAAAAGGATATTTAATTTGGCTTAGAAATATGGGATTAACCATGCTGTCTTCTGTTGTTGTTGTTTATTGATATTTACTTGATATTTATTTATATATTATATTTATTTATATATTTATACTATATATTTATTTGAGAAGTAAATATTTACTTGATACTTGATATTTATCACTCAGTGCCTTGATTGTTAAAACTAATATAATAAACATATTCAATTTAATATTCAGCTTATCATTCCAGCCTGCCATCAATATTATTCCAACCAATAGCTGCATTTTTACACATCTTTCCACCTCCACATTTTACACAGTACTGTGTATTCCGGAATGTACAGATAATACCAATTTACATACTTCTTTTTTAATATCAGTTAGTTCAGAATGCTCTATTTTACCTCATAAGTACTCTCTGAATTGTTGTTTGTGGATCTTGCTGTTGTTGTTTCCATGGGAGTTATGTATCTAACCTGCTTAAAGGTTTTCAAGATCCCACTGGAAGTCCCTAATTCTTTCTCAGTCTTAGGTCACTGGTATCTGAGCACTTTATGGAAGTTTTGTGTCTGCTATAAAGTTAAAATGATGGAACTTGAGGAGCATTTTGTCAGTTCAAAGCTAATTTCTGATCTGTTAAGAAAATGAATGTATTATTTTTAATACAATCAGAAATGTTCATACATGCACAACTGAGCATGGGGTTAATACTTTCTTAGGGCTTCACAGCTTTTGGCATCTATTCAAGTGAACAGGTGGAAGTTAATGTTAATAGAAACCTTCAAATGTTTACATATCCAAGTACCTAATGATGAGTCTAGTGCTACCCAAGTGGAAAACTAATGTTTGTGTACATGAAAGCACACTGGTGTTGATTTAAATTAAATTCTTTAACAGCGTTACTTAAGCAAACTTCTGGGAAACAAAGAGAATTGTAAATTCTAAGGTGTGCTGAATTTTGTGGTTTCTCCATTCTGTATGCATTTAACCAGTTATCCTCTCAGAATAGAAACTCATACTGTCTCTTGACAGCATCTCATTTGCAGGTTAGAAATGTAATGGAGCATTAGAGATAGGGTGAAAGAATAAAGCAATTTTGGGTTGTTACCCCATTCTACCAATGAAGTGTTGGTATCACAAGCCTTGGTGAATGCTGGTGTCTGCTTCACTGTAGTTGTGGTTTTGCTTTGTGTTCATAGTCTTACTGCTTAAGTTTTTGAATAATTTGGATAGTAGGTAGTGACAAAGGGAAGAAACTGGTGGCTGGTGGATTAAACAGTGAGACTTTGTAAAGTACAGTAGGCTTGCAGACACTTTTACAAGGAATTGGAATGCATGATTGTGTAAGATAAAAATAATGCCGGTACTGACATTGTAAATATAGCCCTAGAGGTCACAACTGAATCTGCTGCTGCTTGCCTCATTCCCTGCAGCCAACAGAGGTAAATCTCAGGATGAGTGTGATACCAGGAACTTAACATATGGTATGATACATCACCATATGTTATACTGTTAACACGTGAAGGAAGGAACACAGTTGGTAAGGGAACTTTTAAACCTGAAGTGAAAGGCATCTGCTCATGTCACTTACCCTTGTTAGCTTCAGTACATCTGAGTGCTGGTTGCATAATTGGTTTAGGAATCTTCCTAATGAAGAATTCAAGCCTGTGCTCATGGGAGTGTTGTCCAATGGGTAAACAGTCAGTGGCAAACTGTTTGAGTTGTCCCCCTTCTTAGTTGAGTGTTCTGGGCATTGCCATATTAAAGCTCAGTTTTGGTTCTGATGTGTTTGAAATAATGTCTACTGCAGAGGGAATTGTATTGTTCTGTTTGGGATGAATGTGATTTTTACAGCTTGAATTTACATCGTGGCAAGGAACTCTGAAAGCATTAACCTGCTGTGTTTTTTTTTGAACAATTTTCACTTTTATTTTAAAACATGTAGGGACTAAGATACAGGGACAGACACCTGTGACACCCTTACCTTATAGTAGTATGTGAAATTTTTTTTTAATTTAACTTGCTGCTAACAATTTGTGTTGTTTTTTTTCATAGGTGTGCGAGATTAAAACATAATCTTTAAGTTAAATGCCTGTGCTTCAGAAGAGAGATATCTATCTGAATTATCCAATTTTATCCAAAAAAAGTCTTTTGTCCAATTTCCTCGTGAATGAAAAGGTGATATTTGAGGCTCCTGATGTCCAAAGGCAGATCTTGGTCAGATTGTTCAGTTGCCACTTCCTGTCCAGAGTATTCTGTCTGTCTTATCAAATGCTTACAGTGATGTATACAGAGAGAGTCACCCATAGCAGTGGCATCAGCTATGGACATCTTTTTGATTTATACGCACTTGAGTCTCTATGCCTCTCTTTCACATTAAAACAAAACAAAACAAAACAAAAAAAACCCACAAGTTTGTGTGAGATGCATTTAATCTCCCAAGATAGAATGTGTTTATCTTTCTGCATGAACAGGCTAACAACTCTCTCCTTTCTCCTCCCTCTTTGTTTCTCTCAGCTAGAGGATGAAATTTCAACTTTGCGGCAAGTACTAGCAGCCAAAGAAAAGCACCTGATTGAAATTAAACAAAAGCTTGGCATGAGCCTGATGAACGAGCTGAAGCAGAACTTTAGCAAAAGCTGGCATGATATGCAGACAACTTCTGCGTGAGTACAGACTGCACAAATTCATTTTGATATGTTTTGTAGCACATTGGAGATACTGCCTTGAGCCCTGGGATGAAATTTTCCCATAGAAATACCTGCCAGAAGGGGTAGAAAACAGGGGCAAGTATGTCATGCCTCTCAGAGTATTGTTGCTTCCACAGCAACAATATGCTTTGCTACTCTATTGTGCCTTAATTTTGCAAAATCAGAGCAAATAAATCTGTCATGGGACTGAGGTCAATCTTCCTGCTCCATGACAGGAAGATTCCTGCAGCTTTTACTGAGGAGAGAAAAAAACATTATTGATCTCAATGTATTTTCCAACTTCAGAGAGAAGAAAGATTACCAAATATTAGCAACTATTCAAAAACAAATAATAAATATCCCATCATCTGAATTATAAAGGATTACGGATGGAATCAGCTGATCTGTTGAATTCCTGCTCCTGGCTATCCAAAGGAAACATGAAACTTTGTTGACGTTAACTGTGCCATCTTTAAGGTTATCTTAAGTCCTCTGTATATCAAGTATATCAAGTTTTGCAATTTACCAGCATTGTGTTCTTTGGCAAGTCACATATCACAGCCTTGGTTTACCACTATGGAGAGTGGGTAACTAGTTCATAAGAGTTCAGTGAAAATCTCCTTTAATGTTTAAGCAGCTCAGGGTTTCTAGGGTGAAAAGAAATGTAGAAGTGTAAATAATAGTTACTCTGCTGCATCTGTTCAAGTAGTTTAATGTGAACTTTCTTCTCTAGGACCAGACCAATTTACTGTGGAAATTTGTAGTCTCAGTTGCTGCCTTCCAGAAAGGTGCATTTGAACAATCCCTGAGAGCTTAGGTGAATTGAGCAAGGAAGGGAGTTTATTTGAGTTACAGCTTGATGCCAAGAGCTATCAGTGCAAGCCTTGTGTAAGGAAGGAGTTAAAAATACACACATGGAGATTGTGATAGGATCTGTCCTAAATCTACCATTCCTGAACCGGAAACTGACAGAAGTTTCAAGATTTTATTTATTTGTTTGTTTGTTTTTGTAGTTGACAACTGTATTTGAGACACATAGGGAGATGCAAGAGTGAGCGACCTCACACAAGGGTTGAGGTGGGAGTTGATAGAAAGGCAGGCAGGGCACTGGCATTACCCATGATGGAGCAGTGTCGTAATACCTGAAGAAAGAGAGTAGAGCAGGTTCAGTGACTAAATACAATCGAGATAGGAGTCAAGAGGACAAATAAGGCATAAGCTCCTTAGTAGGAATTGTGATTTGCATGCCTCCTAACATTTACTTTTGGGTAGTTTGTCAGCTGGGTCTAAATGTCATTTAGTTTTCATGAAATTGTCACTAACAGATGCACTTGAGAGACATTGTCACTGTTGTCTACCACAAGTTCTAGGAGAGGGTAACCCAGATGCAGTGGACTTTAAAAGAGAAGAGAAGCAGAAGGCACCTAAACTATGATTACTGGGAGACACTAGCAGAATTTCAAAATAAAACCTTCAATAGTTACTTGAAATTTTGTAGCATTTTCTGAGATAGCTTTTCACTTTCCGTTCTGAGAATAGATATTTTTCACAAAAATAAAGAGACTTTAGACGACTTTATCAGTATGGTATCTGCTACTCTTTGAAATGAGCTTCAGAAACAAAAAGCCATTCAGTTCTCCAAGCCACCAGTGTTTGGAAGTGAGCAGAAGGAGTCCATTTGTGCCCTTGAAAGTCCTGTTGTCTGTAGTCCAACTGTGATATTATTCTGCCTGATACTCACTGTACAAATCATGGTAATTCCACATTCTTAAAACAGATGTGTTATGTAATATAGCGGTAATTCGTTTTTTCTAGTCCAAAATAGCAATGGGATAGAATTACTCACTAACATCCTCTGATTTAATAAGGATGAAAAGGCTTGCTTTAAAAAATAAAACTCCAAAATACATACATTCCTGTATTTTAAACTTCTATATCCAAAATTAGTTATTTTTAATTAAAATATATATGTATAATATTTTAAAGAGGCTACTTTTGCTTTCACTGAATCTTAATGGGTCTTCTAACCACTTTTTTTCTGAAAATTGTCTCATTAAAAAAAAATAATTTCAAACCCACAAAGCACAATTATGCACCAAAATTTTGGTCGTTTAAATCTTACTAATCTTTTAAACTCTCCAACTGGGGATACATTATCAGGGCTAAAGTACACTTAGAGACTCAGCACCCAACCCAAAGAATGGATGCTACTGGGAATGACTGAATATAAACTTCAAATCCTAACTTTTTTTAAAAAGTATTTACATTTGAAAAGGTTGTCCAGGTAGGTTAGAGTTAGCCTAAGCATGTTTGACATGTGGTGCTCAGGGACATGATTTAGTGGAGGGTTGTTAGGGTAGTGTGGTTAGGTTGTGGTTGGACTTGATGATCTTTAAGTGTTTTTCCAACCTGAGCAATTCTATGATTCTATTCTGCATACATGTCAGAAATTATCACTAAAAGATTCTGATGTGATTAAAAAGGGAAAAAAGGATCATAATTACACTGAAGAAAGCCAGAGCTGAAGGTCAAGTTGGCTAATGTTCTTCACTGAAGATTATGACAGGCTCAGCATAGAAGTCTGCATAAGGTCTATTCCTTTCTTATTAATTTATGCTACAAATTATGCCAAAGCATTTCTGTCTCTTGACACTGTATTCATGGCAGTAACGTACAGCTCTTTCTGTATCAAACTAGTTTTTTTATCAGCTTTGTTTTTCTGTAAAGAAAAGCTATAATGTTTTTTGTTTCCTATGAAATAACCTAGAAGTCATTCACTTATGATAACCAGAATCATAATGCATTTATTATGCTCTTCATTCATTTCTGTTGCTGTTCTGCATTACGCTTATTTTTAGTACGATCTTGGTGTTAGGGAAAGGAGGATCTACTATAGAGGATATCAGTAACTAAAGAACAAGTGTTTGTTTCAAGCTTAGTTTCATTTCATCAGCTGGAATGATTCCCCATCATCACCACTTTTTTAAAAATCAGTGTTACAGTGAATAGAGGTGGGTGGACATTATGTTAGCTTCTAGTAATGCAGGGTTTTATTTATATTTTAAACATATCTAATTCATTTATTTGACTTCCAAGTTAATGTTGGCAAGATTTGAGGTTATTTATTTATCTAAGGAATCATTAAAAATGTCTTCAAGGTGATATTTACAGAGACCACAACTGAGCTTTTCTTATAAGTGTTCTGCTACAAAGGAAAAGTTTTACGTAACCTGAATACAGTGTGTTTACTTATCTAAATCTTTTTGATTGGTGATTGTTCAATAAAGTTTCCACAGTGGTTTCTATTCTTCTGCACTTAAAATTTTCCCTGTGTAGTGCATAGAGGTAAAATGACTGCTCCAGTGAGTGTTTTACCTAGTTTTATGCAGAATCACAGAATAGTTCTAAGTTGGAAGCGATGTCTGGATTTTATCCAGTCCAGCTGCCCAGAGCAGAGTGAGCTAGAATGGCATTCTAAGGACTGTTTCCAGTCTGGTTTTGAATCCAAGGTTGGAGTCTACAGCCTCTCAGGGCAGCTGATTACAATATTCAGTCACTCTTTCTGTGAAAAACCTTTTTCTTACATTTGACTATTTATTATATCTTGTTCACTCCCTTACAGGTTTTCATGTACATAGATTGAAACCCCCTGAATCTTGTATTCTCCAGGCTAAACAGACCCAACTCTCTAGCATCTCCTCGTAGGAGTAATTCTCCATTCCCTTAATCATCTTGATGACCCTTCACTGAACTTTCACCAGTATGTCCATGTCCTCTTCGTGTAAGAGGAGCCTAGAGCAAGATTGCACTGCACTGAAGGTTTGGCTTTAACTGGTGGTGAGCAGAGGAAAGGGATTACCTCCACCAATCTACTAGTCAGTATTCCCTTTGGTGAACACCATTAGGTTCCTCTTGCCCTGTTTTTCTAGTCAAGGTCAAAAGTAATAGTATTCTTTAATGCAGTTACAAAATTGCCTTGCATAATATATGGAGAAGATCACAAATGTTAATTTATATTTCTCATGTCTCTCTCATAGAGATAGCTAAAAGCACCTTCACCTTTAGCAATCAGATGCATTGTAACCATGCCCAACTTTGTCTTTCAGCCTTTAAGCTGTTGTTCACAGAAGAAAACAATGGGATGTTACAATGTTGTACTCTAAGTAATCGGGGATAGTGAGTTTCTAAGCAGCAGCTGTATCTGTGAAACAATCCACCAATAACCTCACTCAGGCTAACAGTTCCCATAAACTCTTCCTCATTCTTGCTTGAAACGTTAGCAGCTCTTAGAAAGCATAGGCCTTCTCTTTTTTAAGTGGATAACCTTCCAGCCCATAAAAGAGAATGTGAAATAACCACAGGCATTGCTTCTAGGGAGTTGATTTTGGTTGGTTTTGCTACTAAAAACACCAAACTAGTACCCCAGACATTCAGACCACTGTAGGGAGCTGCTCGTTAGTGGCCAATAAAACATTGCAATATCTAAAAATTGAAAGAAAACCTATTCTCTCTTCAAGAGCTGTAGCAATGAAATGTCTCAAAGACCATATACTTAGTAATTTGAACTGGGGCATTAGTACTGCTTTGAGGTGATGGAAAGTGGAATCTCACAAAACTGTGTTTCCACACAGGCTTTTCAATTTTGCTGTCACAGACAAAATAATCACTTCTAGATGCTGAAAACTGTATGACTTAAGTGACCAGTATCAAGAGAGCTGTAGATGCTAACTCCAACATGTTTCCATGTTTCTAACACAGCGCCTGACGCACACTCAAACCCTGCCAGATTTCTGTAGCTCACTTAGGAAGGCTTCAGTATTGCTCTGCTCTTATATGCAACATCTGCCTGAGATCTAAGAAAGCAGCATTCAACATGGACTTGGCCTTTTCCTCCAGAAACAGAATAAGAATCATATATTTGACTACTCACTGAGAGCTATATGTACCAGCTTAGTTCTGCTGATAGGAAACCTGAG